GAAATTAGAGGACACATTTTAAAGTTTGAAGGTAAGAAAAAAATATTTTAAAGCATATACAGGGCAAAGGATCTAAATAGGTCTTAAAAAAAAATATAGCCCGTTCGACTGTTGGCGGATTTTTCCGGAATTGCCATATTTTTCAGGTAACCCTATAGAGTGGCACAATTTAAAAAAGATCATTGAATTATCAAATTGTCTTCAAAATAATGTATTCATTCTTAAAAGTTTAGATTTTTCGGAATACATTTTAAATCCTCAGCTTCTGAGAGAACTAGTAGACAAATTACCATTGAATTTAAAACTTCAATGGGGAAATATATTAGAAATTTAAATACAAAAAAGTTTCAATTGAACTTTTTAGTAACTGGCTTGAAGAGTTTACAGATGAATTAGGTTATATTTATTCGGCAATTGATAAAAACATATCTTTACCATTAATTCCAAAGAAAAGAAATTTACTGACGAATTTAAAAATTTAAATGTAGATAGTCGATGGAAAGTTTTTGTTGTTAACAAAATTTGCCCAACCATGGAATTAATAAATGTTATATAAGAGTCTTATGTAACATTGATAGTTGTCCTAAATATCTACTGCATCCAGTTTTTTATCTACTAACCAACTTGTTGGATATACTAGTGATAGTACACCTAATCAAAAGGTAATAAATAAAGTCCTTCCCACCATATTAGAGGGTCCCAGAGGAAGACTTTGTGATAAAGGATCTTCTATAAAGCCTAATGAAAAAGGTGTTGCAGACGTTTTAGGATATCAAGGAGAACAAGAATTTTTTAACGAGATGGACTAGCAACCCTATTAAAAATGAAGACACGTCAAGGAAAATATCTTTTAAGATATCAGGCACAAATTAAAAATTATACCTTATAAATAATGCTAGAACAGTAAAAAACTTAAATCTGTTAACTCAAACTATATGTACAGAACTTAAAAAAATATTAGAAATTTAAAAAAACTTTGACATACAAAGTTTAAAAAATGCTCAGCATATCATCTTCATCTGTCATGATAATTGGCCTTTGATTATTAGCCGAGAAATGGCGTATGAATCTTGGGATGGATCTGCTCTGTCAAATTTTAATTTCAAAATTTGCAACTTTAAAGAAGTTCTAAATTGCATTCCTGAAGAACCCAAAGCACTGTCTTGTATGAATATCCTAGATAATAAGACTTAGTGAGTATCTGCCTGTGGATCCAAAGGTCCCAGGTTCGAATCCCACCATTGGCCGGAATTTTTTTAATTAATTTAATTAATTGAAATTAATTATGATGTTTTGGTAGGATTCCCCACTGGACCATTCACTGTTGGGTTCTAATTAACAGTGCTGTTCCTAAAGTAGCGCTGGGAAACAGTAACAAAGCCTACACAGAACACGAGGCGAAATAACCTTAGCAGTTGAAGCCGATTACAGTTCATCAAATTTCTAGAGGTGTTCGACGCCCAGACAGAGAACGCGCTACGTGTGACTAAGATAGCTATTGTACAGTCTGCTAAACAAGTTATTTTAAATAGTTTTTAATATTTTTAGGTAATTAAATTTTAAAAGTGTGGAATAGTTTAGGGATTAAATTGGTCTGATTGACCTTTCTTAGAACGTTTTTAAAAGCAGCTAAAGATAGTATGTAGAATTGAAAATAATTATTATACCATAAAAGGTGTTTTGGAATTCCTTCAACCTTTTGAAATTGAGTCAGAAAATATAAATTTTATAGGATAGCGGAAAATACCTATAACTTTTTTGTAGGCCTTTGTAAATCGTGGAAATAGTTTATATTTTATTTCTACCTTATTAAGGAAAATGGTACCTATTATTAATAACGGTTGTTTCTGAAACATTACTAAAATTTTCGAAATTTTGTTTTTCTACAAAATAATAAACTATAGTATTTAGAAAAAAATTTATTTCTCTTATAATTTTATAAAAAGTAACAGGGGAATATTTACATTTCTTGATCTGTTAAACAAAACGATAAATTATCTCGACGAATGACACCATGTTCTAGTACGGAAGATAGCTTTACATTTTTGTTGGTGGTTTCATGGGTTTCATATCAATTTTTTGTTATTGTAGTTTACACGTACATATACCTCTTAACACTTGTTTGCTTTATTAAAAAAGTGTGTTGTTGTGATTTACGTCGAAATAAGTCAAAAACAACTTGAAACCCCATATAAAATCCAAAAGGAGAAACGGAAAAAAAATGAGCCTGTAAATGAACACAACTCAGAAACAAAAATAGCTATCTAATAATAAAAAAATAAAATTTGATTCTTGTGCAGCTTCATCTATATCATTAACTGTTTTTGGTTTTTTAATGGTTTTTCTTGGTGATGAAAATTCCGATATCTCACGGTTATCGATTCTTTTTTTCTCTCCAGAAATGCGGACGACAGTGTTTTTAGATACTCCTGTGGCTACAGCAACACGATCATTTTATTTTTAAATAGTATTGAAGGTGAATTAAAGTTTCCTTCTCTTCTCATAAACTCTATAACATTGGCTATTATTTCGCGAGATTGACTGTTAATCACGCGGCCTCTTAATTTGCTATTAAACTTCATACTTAGGTTCTATTAAACTGTAATGAGCAAAAAACACAAACGAAAATAAAAGAAATGTTTTAGCGAAATTTACATCTGACATTTACGTCTGAATGAAATAGTGAAATACTTGATGCGCAGAGTGTACTTTCATTGCGTAAATCCGTCGGAATGCCTGTCAGTAGTGCTTTCTTTGTCTAGCCGTCGAAAGCCTCTAGAAATTTGATGAACTGTACACACACACAAAAAAAAGACTTAGTCTACTGAAAGAGTCTTAGAAGTATGATAGGTATCTTAAAATGATAAATTTAGATTCGAATTTCATTTTAACAAAATTGAAAAGAAATATTGTTAAAAAGCAAAATTCCAACAAAAAGAGAATTGTTAGGAATATCTATATTAATTTTTGACCCACTTGGTTTTGTTAGTCACATTATGATAAATATTATGATACTACTCCAAAAGGTTTGAATCAAAACCTAACTGATGATTTTGTTAAAAAAATTAGAAAATGGATTTCCTCTTTAGAGAACATACAGAAGTTTATCCAGAGGATTTGTTAAAATCTGAAAAAATTTGGTTACGAAGGGTAATGAGGAAATGTTTTATAAAGAGATCGATTGTTCCCATATTTAGATGCAGATGGATATCCTCAGAATGAAAGGACGACTCAATCATAATCCCGATTTGGAAGAATATCAGAAAAACCCTATTATTTTAATGGACAAATATTTTACACAAATTGTAATAGATTATTTTTATAAAAAGTTTAACCACATAGGGATAGGAACGGTAATCAACGAACTACGATCAAAATATTGGATCACCCATATAACATGTGCGATTAAAAAAAGGATTTCGTAGATGTATGCTCTGTAAAAATCGAAAATCGAAATCGGCAACACCTATATTTACCAAGAATTACTGAATTTGTGAGACCCTTTACTAACTTCGGAATTGATTACTTTGGGCCCATGCTTGTAAATAATTGCAGAAGACAAGAAAAACGTTACGGAGTAATATTTACCTGCATGGCTACCAGAGCTATAGATCTAGAATTGGCACACAGTCTGGACACAAATTCAGCTATTATGGCAATAAAGAGGATGAACAGCCGAAGAGCATGTCCCCAAAACATGTACTCTGACAATGCCACAAACTTTAAAGGTATCAACAAGGAACTCCAGACAGCTATAAAAAAAATCTCTAAAGACGACATATTTGTAGAATTTTCCATGAAAGATATGAAGTTACACTTTTTACCACCTTTTGCTCCAAATTCTGCAGGAGTCTGGGAAAGATTAATTCGAATGGTATAAATTACATTAAAAATCATCTTTAAAGAAACAGTTCTCAAAGAAGAAACCCTCTTGACTCTTTTATGTAAAATCGAATTAAGCTTTAACAGTAGACCTCTCACATATGTACCCACAGACCCTGACAAACCTGCATATTTGACTCCAAATCATTTCTTAATTGGTAAGAATTACGGGGCACCAGTTCTAGACATCAAAAATCTAGATTTAAGAAAACAATTCCAATTGGAAAAATACTTAGCAGATAGATTTTGGCAACGTTGGGTGAAAGAATACCTCCCAATACTAAACAGATGTCAAAAATGGTTCCAGCATATCCAAAATATAGACGTTGGAGATATTGTGGTTATAACCACAACCTGAAAAATTTTTATGTTACAGGATAGAGCCTCACCTTTGATAGAACAATTATCTTATTTTCATGACCATACCCGAATAATTTTATTAATTATTACTGTTTTTATTTTGCATATTTAAAAGCATATTTTGTCTATTGTTAACGCATAAATGTATACATATTTAGACCATTTTTAAGTGCATATTTTCCAAGTATTATTTATCACGTCCAATGCGTAACACAAGTATGTTTGTTGTTCCTTTTGCCACGATAACATCCATAGCTCCCCTCCTAATCATGCTTTACTTAGCCAATATTATAAATAATTTAGAGTATATACACTGGTATGCAAAATACAAAACATTTGAAAAAAAATTATTGAACCAATTACAAACATGTCCATTTAAGCAAGTAATAATTATTTAATCCCACGTTGTTTCTGGTATTATCAAAATTATGTAAATGTTAGTAAGCACGCATATTGCACTTATTTAATAGCAATTATCCTTGTAATAAGGTCAATAGGCCTGTTAGGATAAATAAACAAATAGATAAATCGCACATCTCGGAATGTAATTTATTTATCATTGATTTTATACAAAAACACATTAATTCAAGATTTATTTATCTAAATGCATCAAAATGTATAAAACAACTACCGACTGACAAAAAACTTAAATTTACAGAAAAACCTTTAGAAATTTCATTAGTCAATAATATATTGCATTTTTTTTTTGACAATAAATACATATTTTCCCTCTCTATAAAAATGTCTAAATTACTCACCGATCACTGTAAGATTAACTCTGCTGTTTTTCGTCTGCGCGATCTTAAAGTCGACCCTGCAACGATAAACAGCCTGATCAGCCTCTCTGATATGATCCACTCCCAATTCTGCGGGCTGTTTCTCGGGCATGAAGTAAGCCCGGTTGGCGAAAACGTTTTCGTCCGACCATCGCTCAGCCATGCTGAATTCTCGTTCGCGGGCATCAACGCTGAAAAACAAAGAAGAAAATCAAATAAAAAATATTATGGAATATTAAATTTATACACAAGGAAAAAAATTTCAAATTTACTTTCATACAGGTGTGAAATTAAACGGCGAGTGACAGAATTCAATTCCAGAATGCTTGGCTGATTTTTTTGAAGAATTTGGGTTTGACTTTAATGGTTTTTAGAATGTTTTGATAAATTTTGTTTAGTTATTCAGACCATTTGAACAGAACGTTGGAGTGTCTAATAATAAGTTTTTATTGTCAAAATTATTGGCATATAATATGTCAAATTGAATAGTATGAAGTCAGCAATTTTGAACTAAAATAGTTATTTTAAAGGACTTCTTAATCTAATTGATATTAAATGAAAGAATTAGGAACAATAAGTAAAGTTTGATATAGTACTAAGGACTAAAATAAATTAAACCATGTTATATTAAGGACTTTGCATTAGATAATCTCTAAAATATTTGACAGTACATCACGAATGCTACGAAAGATGATATCTGGGAAATTGTTAAGGCCAGATAACAAAAAAATACTATTTAGACTTCTATGCGAAGGAATTTGGCTACAAAATATTTAAATTGGCACCTTGTCATTGTTATAGTGGAGAAGACAAAGTACAAATTAATGGTAGACATTTAGTTTTGCAGTACCCTTCAATGCTGATTTGTAATTATAATGAAGGACTCCATTACAAAACAGTGCAGGACAAAATGACGCAGGACAAAAAGGCACAGGCAACATAGCGTCAGGACAAAATAGCGCAGGACAAAATAATGCAAGGTAAAAATAGCGCAAAGACATAATAGTATATGAAAAAATAGCGTGAGGGTCAAATAGCGCAGGACAAAATAGCGTGACAAAATATTCTGATATTTTAATTAAATTAAAAAAACTTAAATAATTTACCTAATCCGAGCGGTTATAAGTACCTACCTAAAATCAGAAGAATTAAAAAACCTAACTAATTTACCTAACCTCTACGGCCTGGAGCCATATACAGCAACTCTTTAAGGCGCCAGGCCGTATACGTTAGGTACTTTTTTTTTTAATTTTATTTAGAATACTGGAGTGTTTTGTCACTCCTAATTTGTCTCGCTATTTTTTGACTAAGCGCCAACTAGATTCACTATGATTTGACCTAGCGTTAATTTGTCTCACTTTATTTATATTAAGCACTAGCTTGTCTTTTATGTATTTTTCTCGGCTTGAATTTATCTCAAGCTAAATTGTCTCACGCTAAAATGGATTAAATCCGAAAATATGATAGAGACGGAGCTACATTCAGTGTTACACTCCAAACATTCACTGTATATGCATTTTCGGAGCAGTATTTGTTACGAAATATTTAAATGAATTATTTTGTCATTGCCCAATTTGGTCCTGCGCTATTTTGTCATTGCGCTATTTTTTCCTTGGGCTGTTAGGTCCTCGCGCTATTTTGTTCTACGCTAGTTTGTCTTGTGCTATTTTGTCTGTGCTCTTTTTGTCTTGCGCTGTTTTGTCATGGAGCCATTCTAAAGTTAAAGAAAACCGGTGAATATGACGAAGACTAAAATGGATCAGTTTTTGAAACTTGATTTAAAAATATCCTCAAAAACTGATTCTATGAGAGAGATGGACAATGCTTCCTATCATAGTAGACTAGCTGATCCCTCATCAACTACAAAATGGACGAATACAAAGCCTCCGGATTGGTTAAAATCCCAACTACTGTTATAGAAAAGGACGAGATGTTATTGGATGATCCACGGGAGGTAGCTGCAGAGTTTATTAGTTTTTTTAAATATGCTCCTGGTCATTTGGTCTACAAAACAATAACAAAGTCTACTAGTAACATCGAAGAAATCACATCAAATAAAGATTCTTTCTCTCTCACTCTATTTTCGAACACAGAATTATTAAATTTATTACTTAGGAAAATTAAAAACAAAAGATTTTCTGGAGCCGATGACGTACCATGTTTTGTACTAAAACAAGTACTAGATGTTCTCTCTGAACCTTTGAAAAATTTAGTAAACTTATCAATTGAGGAGGACAGTTTTCCTCAAGTTTTAAAACTGGGGAAAGTTTTACCATAGCACAAGTAAAATGATCGTAGACAAATAAAGAACTATAGACCTGTTGCTATTTCGTGTGGCCTGTCTAAAATATATGAATATGCCTTTTTTTGATCGTCTTCTCTCTTTCTTGAAAAGGTACAACATTATAACAGGAAATGAGCATGGATTCTGTGCTAAAAAATCAACAACTGCTATGCTTTCATTTTACAATAAAATTATTCACCATTTGGAGGAATCTAAATGCCCAGCTGATATCTTTTGTGATCTCGGTAAAGCATTCGATTGTGTAAAACATGAGTTGCTTATAAATATATTAAAGAAATATGGAATCAGAGAGACCGATTTAAATTGGATCTCAACCTTTTCACTCACTAAGAAGCAATATACTTCTTTAAGAGTACAAAACGACAACAAAATCATTACTATTAATTCTGATAGACTAGATATTAATATGGGAGTTCCTTAGGGTTTAATAAAGTGACCAATATACTTCATACTGTATGTAAACAATGTTGACTCAATAATAGGTGATAATCATTATGTAAGCTATAATTTTAGCTAAAAATACACTTATAAACAAAAAACCGTCTGTAACTAATACAAATGTACACAGGTATAAAACCAGATAGGCTGACAAACTACATATACCTTATGCACGACTTAAGGTAACATCTAATGCGCCAAATTATTTGGGACCCAAATTGTTCAATAGACGCCCTCTTGTAATAAAGGAAAGTAATTTATTTTTAATTTTTAAAACTTTGCCTGCTAAGACAAAAAATTGTGTACAAATACATATTGTCGATGAGTTGACCAATTTTACAACCATATCATGGCAAATTAAACCCGACAGAATTGATTTGGACAGCTAGAGGGTTATGTTGCTCGGTTGTTTCTGGAAGCAGTTTTTATTAACGTGGGCGCTGAAAACTGGAAAACAAGCATTATTGAAAAGTGGAACAGTCATTTGGAAGAGCGGATGCAATAACTAAAATTTTACTGAACTTGTAATACTTATTCATTTTGGCAGTGATTAGTGTAGCGTTCATGTCCCGTGTGTCTATCATTTTGTTGCCGCTAGTTCATTGACGAATCACTTTGCAAATTACTTCTATAAAAAGTGTCTATTTGAAAGCAGACCAATCAAGGAACTTATAGTATATACTGGTATGCCGAGAATAATAAAATGTCCTGAATCGTATAACGGAGCTTGCACGACTTCTGTAGTGATACCGCCTAGAATAAAGTCAAGAAATTTGTTACCTCCTGGCCAATTTGAAGTACCTTCTTTAGAATACAACGATAAACTCCCTATATCTTTGAAAAAGTATCAAGAACTTGTTGTATGTTTTTTATTATATTATAACATTACCTAATATGTTCTACCGAAATTTACCATTATGTGCCTTACTTTTAATAAAAACCTATTTAGATTATTTGTTTATTAAGAGCTTGCCCTAAGTTTTTACTAATCTTACTACTATATCTAAAACGCCCTGTATATTTTTTGTATGAGAATTTGTTTACTATTTTTGATGATACTACTTTTATATAACCAAAATTAAAGTTGTATGTTCTTTCGTTTCAATAAATAATGCAATTACTAGCACATAGTTTACGATAAATTACTCCATTTCCCCACTCGAACCTATGTCGTATAAATCCAAATATTTTTTTTCAGCTACAAAAATAAGCCTGTGCACTAAATAATTGATAACAAAGTAATCTATACTACTAGGTATTGAGAAAAAAATATGTGAGCTAAATATATTTTCAGACAAGTACCGTATAAGTCTTCAAATTTTAAAATCCTACTTTGTCAGAAACTTATTTTTGTGACATTCATCTTTTTTCCCCTGTAATCTTCATTTGTGATTAATTCTATGATGATAATATGATGTCTTAATTTGGTAAGCATAGAAGGTACATTGTAACGGACAAATAAAATTTATCCATGGCAGTAGATGGCTTTGTCCCACTATAGGTATACCAAGTCCCACTATATACCACTTTACCCTATTAATTTTTAGAGCAACAAATTTAGTGGAAATCAACATCAAACCGTTTCCATTGAGAACGTTTTGTAATTTATGCTATAATTTTTGGACATTTAAAAAACATGAATTATTAAAATTATTACGAGTACAATAAACAAATTATATAAATATCTCCAGGGCCTTGGTGCTTTGTACCGAACTGACCTATGATGGCTACACTAACAAAGCTGTAAAGACAAAAAGCAGCGGATACACCAGTATTAATATGCAAACCAAAAGATAATTCCCTATCGAATGTAACACCTAAATCTTCATAGTTCTCGGTCTAATGATATAATCAAATACTATAGGATTAAAGTTAAACTAAAATAATATGACAAAACATATCGCGGCTTTCAGTAATAAATTATTTCTTAGACACCAGTACTAAACTCTATTGAATATTAGCTTGAAGGTGTTCGCAATTGGATCTCTGAGAAATGGTCAAACACAATTTTGAATCATCGCCATATATAGTATCTCTCATCAATTACATCAGTGATGTCGTTAATACATAATATAAATATACGGCGTTGGTTCGTTTCGCCCGTTCCCGTTTCGTCCGTTGCACGAAAAATTCTGTTTTCGTCCGGTCGTTAAATTAAGATTATCAAGGGTACTTAAATATTCTCCTTTCGTCCGGTGATGTCAGGTAGGTAAAAAGAATATAAATTTTCCATCACACTTTATCCAGACTTAGGACTGGCAATTTATAAAATGAAATGTTTTAGCCTTCTATGTAATGTATACATTTTATATATTGGCGTGTTTAAAAATGTTTGCGCTTCAAATATGAGCTTGTCTGAAAAAATATATACATATATACAAAATTTTATGCAGCATGCTGACTTGTCGTGGTTAGTTTATTATTATTTCACAACGTATGTCAATCGTC